ATAATAATAATAATAATAATAATAATAATAATAATAATAATAATAATAACAATAGTAATAGAAACAATAGCAATAACAATGTTAAAAACAATATCAATCCAAATCGCTCATTCTCAACACTCATTCCAGCCAGCTAACCAGGAATTCGATTAGATGATATTTTAATAGATCACAACCGAGTAACCCGACCGTGCCTTGTATCATAAACCAATTCGAATCGCCATCAGTGACCACAATCACAGACATATCAACGTCCAAATATACCTATCCAGCATTCATATACCCAGCAAATAATCTCGCTGATACCAGCCTCGAATATGGATAGCTATGCTCGGCTTATACGTTCATGTTCTACACCGTTTCTCTTTTGTTCTAGCAAATGAGTCGTCATCTAAGTGCCGTATTCATCCTTCATGTCATCCCTCAATCCTTCGTTCATCCACCGATTGATTGCATCATCCTCAACTCAACGCTATTTTGTACTCATATTACTTCTTGAACTACTCAACAAAAATTATCTTTCCTAACTTCTCTGTTATGTCTGATTGCATGCATGACAATCAATACTAAACATATTCCATGCTCTAAACCATTTATAAAATCCATCCGCATTTTCACGTTCACTTATTTACTCAATCAGCAATTACACAAACTCATTACGAGTGTAATCTCCTCTGATATTACAAAACATCACATTCTTTGCGTGCCATTCTTCTTTTCTGCACGCAACCAACAATATTAGCGCAGCAAACAATTCATCTTCTTGAATTTTTTCCTCGATTATTGATTTGGCGATCACAAAGCTATACGAGCTACTACTGTACCATTCCCAACTCTTTTATTAAATGTGTTCATGTTTTATACCTAAAGCATAATTTATCTGTCTGAAAACACTTCACTACCGTTTCTCCTGTCTTTCTACAAATACCTATTTCATTAAAGCCAAAATTTGAACGGATATGCCAACTGCTTAATGATATCCATATCGGTCTCCGTCTCTTTGTATTGCACTCATCAACACTTCAACTCAAACGTTAATCAAACAACTATTACCGAAATAATATAAGAAAACAACGAATGAAATAATAAATATTTATTACATCATTCGGTGAAACAAATCACTAAACGAATACAACAACTGTAACATTTAATAAATGATATCTAAATAACTATCAGCTCTTTGTTTATTCATATACCCAATTGACATTAGCTGGTGTCCATTCGACAAGTTCTTCCTTTTTGAACCAGTGAGCTATTTCTCGATTAGCAGATTCAAGTGAATCTGAACCGTGTACGATGTTACGTCCTGTTTGGATTGAGTAATCACCTCGGATTGTTCCTTAAATACACCAGGTAATCATGAATAAACACAACAACAACAATAATAACAAGAAGATTAAGAGTACCAACCAGGATTCGAAGCCAAAGGATTGGTAGCACCGAGCATTAAACGACCTTGCTTAACGACATCCAGTCCTTCCCAGACCATCGCAACCACGGGTCCAGAAGACATATACTCGATGAGTGTTTTGAAGAACGGCTTGTCTTTCAGTTCTTGGTAATGAATCTCGAGATGTGGTTTGGTGGCATGAACCATCTTCATGGCAACCAGTTTGTAACCTCGCTCCTCGAATCTTGAGATCACCTTACCGATTATGCCTCGCTGCACTGCATCCGGCTTGATTGCAATGAATGTTCTTTCGTTCTTGGACATCGTTGAAGCACTCGTTTTATCACCTTCAAACAATTACTTTACTATTCAATTATCATTACCCCCAATGACACGCTGTCACTATTCAATCGCCCAATTCAGAGAAATAACCAAAACGATCGATCATCACTGTTATTAATTACTATTACTATCGATACAAAGTAAACGTCGTCAAGCGTTGCACCTCAGCTCAATATATTGCACATAAGATACGCGAACATGCGAGTAGCACGTTCACTCAGCAACAACACAACGAACACAATCAGCACGGAACACATTCAAACACTAATATCGCTCCTATGTTCATCTCAAGTTCATTTCATGACATGGTTTAGTAGACTTGATGTGTGGCAGATGCTGCTCGAAGTGCGAATGAACGTTGCGAATGAGCTCATTTCTTCGAGAACATATATTTAGCACGTACTTCAACTCACATCCACTAGCAACTCTCCGAAAAATTTTTTTATCTCTCGAAATATTGATTGATAGAACACTAAAGTATTAAACAAAATTTTCAACAATTCGCTATCGGTTTTAGAAACAAAAAACTCAGTTATTATTTACAGTTTTGGAAAAATCAGATGAATTATCGATATCCACAAGTAAACTGAAACTAAAAATGAAATGATATTGGTAAACTTGGCTTGCATCTAATTACCTAAAAATAAAATCTACAAAAATGAAACTGAACCTAAAAATGAAGTCTAAAAGAAATCAAACTGAAACTAAAAATGAAACTGGAAAACGAAAACACAATAAGTGACGATGAGATGAATGGAGACTAGGCTGAATGGGTGAAACAACTAACTTAAAATATCTGCAGAATACTTTCGTTGTTGATGATTATTTGCATTCGTGCACGTTTCAGCCTTATCTTCACAATTACGAGCGCTCTCCTCACTACTCGACGATACTTCGCCACGTAGTAAGCAAATAAACACAAACAATGACAACCACACAGTCCACTTATTAATAATTTCACCACACAATTTCATTGCAAATGAATACGGCCACGTTTTGCTCTTTGCCCTCTTCAACAGTAACGTAAGTAAAAATCGTCACGTTTCAACAAAGTACGAAGAATATGAGTACTAGTAGTACCTCATCTGGCACATTCACACGAAACCTTTCTAATTCGTCTTTAGCTTATTGTCTCGAATCTAGGCTTAAGCTCATTCCTAAGCTCCAATTCAGGTCCACTCTTGAGATCAGGCTTTTTTAGGAACTGTTGAAAATGGGCAGCACGGATACGATTCATACGGCCAAGATTTGAACACTGTTCGACGCAGTTCGCAATTTGAGAATAATCGCTATGTTCACAGTGGCTGAGGTTGAAGTTATCGCGAACCTGTGCTGAGGCTTACTCCGGACATAGGTTGAGGCTCATCATCGCGAACCTGGGCCCAAGCCCTGTCCGGTCTCAGGTCGACGCCTTCTCCGGATTCGGGTTGAGGATTATTCCGTACTGCTGCGAACATCTTCGAACAGCCCTCGAAAACTCGGCCGTTTGAGCCGAAGTCGTATGGTAGTGTTTAGAATTGCTGCTTTTAGCAAGGTTACCTACAATTCACTTGTATAATCGCGATACCGTCAATTGTTCATCATCACACCGTTGGCAACTGTAAATGAAACATCTCTCCGAAATGCATTATTCGCATCCACAATACGGTTGAGCGTTCGTTTTATGCGTTTTAGTGATTGGTGTGCGAATGGCAAAACTCAGTCAATGAGTTGAATTTTGAAGGAAAATTGAATTTTGAAAAGTTCAAAAAATTTGTGAAGCACATTAATAATGACCCTCATCAAAGGCTCACGGCTTTCGGTCGTCCAATGGATGAATCCATTGTCAACTCAACAAATCTCACATCTTAAAATATCAGCCCTTTAAATATTACCATATAGCGTTAAAGTGTCGGAAATTCAAAAGTTCGTCCCAGATGTGACTGAGCTTAGAGGCTTAGTTATCGGCTAACATCCCGTCTTAGGCTGATTTCTAGCCTCAGCCTTAATACAGTCATATTTATGCACAAACTCGCGGGACGTTTCCTTCTAACAATAGCCAAAACTTTCAACCGGATGTTTCTGAGGAGCGATATCCAGAAACATTCATTTCACCACTGATTATGAAAATGAGTTCTCATTTTTATCAGTTCCATTGAAGAGGAATGAAAATATTGCTGCAATTTTATGAGGAAATTAAGACTTGATAGCATACTCAAACAAAAGTAACGGCTAGCTGCTGCCTTACATCAAATAGGAGCATTGAATGAGATCCATATCCTACAATCAACATGAGACGCCTTTTCGTAACTATGGAAACGTTGAACTAGGCATGAAAAGATCAATGGGAATATGTTAATGGTAACCATAGAACAGATATCTTGGAATTTCTTCAATGTTCTTTGGATTTATCAGAGTTAGTGTGGTGAGGGGACGGAAAAAAACATTCGGCGACGAATTTTTCCATTCGAAGACCCTGAAAATGTCGTCGGCTCGAAAAAAGTCGGGGACAGGGACGGAGATTCACGGATGGGGTCCCCGAATCTCCTCGATCCCCGCACCACACTAATCAGAATTATAATACATGATCGAAGGCAGTGATGAGTCGATGTTTGGTTTAATGAGTGCAAATGCATCTCAGAAACAGTGAATCGATCGAGAGTATTATAGAAGTTTCTATTAGTGAAATATAAAGGATTTGGAAGCGCTCGGAAGAAAATACATGAAAAATCACTGTCTTGTGGAAGGATTTAGGGATGCTGACGACACGTAAAGCACTCTAACATAGTACGCAATGGAGATTATGCCTTTTCTGATATACTTTTCCGTTGCTAGGGATCGGATAATATCACAAAATTGATGATTTTTTAGTGGTGTTTGAGGAGAAGATCTAGCAAAAAAATGATATTTATTTAATTGGCTCATTACGAGTTAATACCCGTCTGTTTCCACCAATATTATATTCTTCCCCTTTTTCTACACACCTGACCATATTAGCGCAGTAAATTCATGAGATCTAATTTGGATCATTGATCACACAGGAATTGGAGGAGCTATTCTCTTTTATTACACAATGAATTAGACACTTAAGATGAGCTATGCTAACAATATACTGCGATCGATCGTAATAACATACTCGATGTAAAGAATGCAATCCATCAAGCAGTAGTTTTTCTCGATCAGTTCAAAGTGAGTAGCAAAACCATTAACAAGAAAGATGCAAGTGCAATAGCTCGTAATAATACACCCTCATCGAATAACTCAGCAAACATTGCATCGCAATAATTTGTTTTCTGAATTGTAACATATTCAAAATGAAACCATAATCCCAACCAGTTCATATTATTCACATACCACCAAAATCAGGGATACCCGATTCAGATGTTCATTATAACTTTGAATGTGTTTATTGAACATGGTCAATTTTGCATTATTATATTTAACACTATCATCGAACCAATGAGCACTAATCAATGAAGTATGAATGAGCAACAAATTGTATCGAAAACGGATATGTCACTGATATATAGGAAATAATAAAGGTATCGACAACAATGACAATAATAATCAAGAATTGAGATAACAACCAATCTGATAACATGTTCCGTTATCAGCTCATTGATCCGTCAGACTCAGTCATCGACACGAGTACAATTCACGACGGAGCTGACCTCAGCAGAGGTTCTCAGATCGATCAAGTAGTTCTTTGTANATGATTATTTGATGTTATCAGTTGTTATTGTTTAATATTGTTACAATATTACAGCATTTATCGATATGAGCAGTGAAGTTAAAGTTCTGCAAGCAGGCTCTTTATCGTAGTTCATAATTTTTTGTGGTTTTGATCTACTTATTTCAATTTCTAAGCACAAAAATTTGATTGATTTTCAACATTTTACAAGTTCAGTCTCTTATATTAATTGTTCTTTCATTAGACTGTCTCTTATCATATTATCAGCTATTGCTACAGTATTTTTATTATGCATCTATTCCAAGCTATTCTACCACCATTATATCTTACGATAATACCTTTTATTGTTCATTATTAAACTGAAAAATTAAATTCTTATGCTTAAAAATGAAAACAAGTAGATCAAAAACACTGTTCAATACATACATATAATTGATTAAACATAATATCGTAATAATGGAATAGGACAAAAATGAAAATTTCAGCAAGCTTTATTAAGGAATCGACGATTGAGGAAATTAGTGAGGTTGAATATGGTGCTTTATTATATTCGTTGGTTTGATGGTATAGAGGTTGGTTGTTGTGCGCTGCAAATAAATGAAAAAAATCACTTCACATCCACCGTACCGAGTGCATTCATCGCTCCACTCTGTAATACGCGAAATGCTCGATCAATATGTTAACCTGACCGTGCGATTTGCATTCGTTAGTCGTCATGATATCCTCAAAACTTTATCCCAATTCCTTTATCACATCCTACTTGATCACTATCATATTTGCAATTATTCCTTTATAGTAATATATTTGTGTTAATGCAATATTCATAGGAGATTTGATAAAGACATTGATAGTAATACGTGACCGGTCAATCTGCCTAGAGACATTTAGCCTAACGATAGTTTATCTAAAGAC